TCCAAATACGTCAAAGGGCTGATCCATTTATTTATTTTATTTGCTTTACGCACAGCGACAGATTTCGCTAAGCGCTTTTTGTGGATGCCATTATGGTTTCTTTGATGAACTTATGGTTGATTAACATATGTTATTCATCTATATTCCCGAGTAGCGTAATAAAATTTTACATAATACTTTTTCCTTTTGCCTAGTACTTGGCTAGTAGATTTCCGGAACAATGCCCATCCGTTGCTGGTAGCTCAGCTGGCATGTAACTGTTGTATTTATCTTCCTTTTCCTTTGTTATTGCGGCACAGTAGCTGGGGCGTTTCCCAAATCTAGCTAACGTGTATAATGATGACGATGATTATGTTAATTCCGTGTGGTATTAACTGTTAACTAAGCGTCGTAACATGAACCTTAGGTGCGAAGTTCAACGACTGGATGAAAATACGGATGCTTGCATGACCTATAAAATATTTGAATAATGCCTTAAGAAGACGAACACTGGCAGATGTCAACATTTCGGATTGTCTCTTCAGTGCCAACACAATAACATGAAAGTATATAAGACGACAGGCGGGAGAGCCTATGGTGCGCTGAGGCTGGTGGTGGCTAGATCCTGACAGATGGTCTACCCACTGCTGCTAATGTTGTGCCATTTGCTCATGTCCTGGGCGCCTCCTCGTGGCGACCGCTGGGTGGGATTTGGGTTTCGCCCTTCTCCCTGCTAAGATCCAGGACACCAATCCGCATGAGTCAGTGAACTGACCATGTGCTAGACTCATTGCCTTTCGGGTGTCTGCACAGTTGTATGCGAGCGAGGGTGCAGCTGAGTGGAGAGACCTCGGATGACTTTGCAGTTGTCCCTGGTGTGAAGCAAGGCTGTGTCTTAGCTCCTGCCATGTTTAATATATATAACATGCAATGTTGTCTTGTGCTTTTGATGCCGCTTGTGCTTACGGTGTTCGTGTGGAGCACCGTATTGATAGTGGGTTGCTGAACATCCGTCGTTTCGGTGTAAGAACTCTAGTCTGTGAGACAACTATCTGTATGTTGTTGTTTGCTGACGACTGTGCGTTGTTTTCACACAGCACGGATGAGTTGCAGCACATGACTACTGCTCTGGCTTCGACAGCGGCAAAATTTGGGCTCACCATCAACACAAACAAAACTGTCTGTCTCTTTCAGCCTTCGCTGGAGGTGCAATCTTAATATTGCCGCGAATCAGCATTGGTGCTGCGGTATTAGGAAACACCTCCCGCTTCTTTTACCTTGGGAGTGTTATGTCGACTGATTAGCAGCTACACAGTGAGCTGCGTATCAGCGTGTCGAAGGCAGCGGCGGCATTCAGGAAGCTTGAGTACCGAGTGTGGAACAACCATCAGCTTACCATTGGCACGAAGCTGATGGTGTACAAATCCATGGTACTGTCCGTTCTTCTATACCGCAGTGAAACGTGGACAATGTACCGTCGAGATGTGCGATATCTCGAGCGGTTCCATCAGCAGTGCCTGCGACGAATTTTGCGCATTGGTTGGGACGCCATAGTTGCAGACACGGGAGTTTTGCGCCGGAGTGGGATGTACGCAGTGGACTGCATAATTTTACTGAGACACCTGAGGTGGATCGGTCATGTGAGCCGCATGGATTCGACGCGGATACCGAAGCAGTTATTATCTGGTCAGCTGAGTATTGGGAAGTGGCACTTGGAGCAACCAAAGTTACGTTACCAGGACATGATAAAGTGAGACTCACACGTTCTAATCTTGATTGCAGATCATGGAAATCGAAGGCGGTTGATGGACGTGCATGACGCGATCTGATCACGAAGGCATTTGCCGAGGTGCATGAGAAAGCCCTCATACATGAAGAGAAGAAGCGGCAAATGCGGAAGCGGCAAGCACCAATGGTTTATTCTCCATCCACATCAAGCGCATGGTGCTGTAGAACATGCTGTCGGGAGTGCCATAGTCAGGCAGGCTTAGTGAGCCATGAGCGAGGCCACTCGGGACCACTACAGAAGCGACGACGGGTCCTTCAGATAACGTAGGCAAAAACGGCGCAGCGTTTTTAGGTACGCTGCATTCGATTTACTAACCGCGTGCTTGCATGCTAAGTCTCTTCATTTCAGATGGTGGGTTTACAGTTTTTAACTTAACGCTTTTCTTTCTCATATAAATAACTCCCTGTACTCTATTTCATTAACTTGCACACATCGCCTAAGCCAAATTTATTCGATTTCCATAACCTTTTAGTGCTCGTGTCATTCCGTGAACCTTACTTCCTGACCTCGTGCACTTAGCTAGGATTTGTCTGTAAAGAGCTTATTATATATGCTATTTAGTTAAGGTTTATATCACCGTTTCCTTATGCATCAATCGAGTTTTTCTCTTTCTCTTTTTCTTTCTCTCTCTCTCTCTCTCAAGTGTTTGGCTGTTGTTTGATATCCCCGGTGTGGCTGCACTTGATGTGCATGTAGACAAGGTGCCTACCTGTGTATTACCCACTATATCGTCCATACTGGCTCCAGGAGACAGTTTGTCGTTGCTGGACGGGACGGGATGCACAGTCCTTATGGCCGTGTTAGGATCAAAGAGTGGTTCCATGCACTCAGTGTGGAGCGAACTACGGTCCAGCCACCGCTTTGTGTGCGCTTAATTTCCCCAAATACAATGTGCTTGTGTTTGCTGTGAAGGAGTGTGGGCCGGCTCCGTTGATGAGACGTGGTTCCCATCCACATGCCTCCCGGTCTTATTCCTTCGGGTTTACACTGGATATGGGGTGTGTGGTTGGATCTGTGGGTGGTGCAGCGCAAGCCACGTATGGTCCCTCTGTAGGCGCAGGCGTCCTGTGGCTTGCCATAGTGACCGGCAAATCCGAAACCGGACGCCGCCAACCATATAAGACGACAGGTAGGGTGAGACCGGAACAAGTTATAACAGGGTAGAGTGGCACGCGTGACACCCCCACGCCCAGGGCAGCCGTAGGCTTACGAACAGCTGTTTCTGCACACAGAGTGCGGGTTTGATACGGCTGATCGCGACTGCCTCTGCAAAACGTAGGAAACGGGTGTTAGCATGACTTAACACGATTGTAAACATTTTGGCTGGATCAAACTGGTGACAGGTGGCCAGTAAATGCCTACCTATGGATGAAGCAGGTGGTTTACGTGAACAGATGGTATGAGCAACCGACGACTGGGTGATTTGACGCTGCAACCATTTAGGTACATGTTCCCTTATTCTGGAGTTCAACGATCTATTGGTACGGCCGATGTAGTGTATACTACAACTAAAACTAAATTGGTAAATACAATGTGAGTTGGCGCCAATAGGTTGTCTTTCCGTCATTGGGGTAACAGGTATTCGATTAGTCCGGTTGATAAGGACAGTTTCGGCAGCATAATAAGTCCTCTAGACTGCGGAAGTTATGCGCTTCCTTATCCTCATATTGGCAAAATCTCCCTTAAATGGTAGCTCGATGTAGACCTTCTTTTTAGACACTGTTGAAACCTTCTGTCCCGGCACCCTCGCCTGACAATGATTGTCGATGAATCAACTTGGATGGCCATTTTTCAACAGCGTATCCTTGAGCGAGTTTGTCTCTTCATCTAAACTGTCGGTAGTGCATATTTTCCTTGCACGGTTGAATAGCATCTTGACTAAGGTCCGCTTGTACCGCATTGGGGAGAAGCTGGTAAAGTGCAGGTACTGCCCTGACCAAGTCGGTTTTCGGTAAACCTCTCTTTTGATGGACCCATCTGCTCTTCGGCAAATCAACAAGTCCAGATACGGGAGGCAGTTGCTATTCTCTGTTTCGCTGGTTACTTTCAGATTCGTGTGCACGTTATTCAGGCGATCGACCAGACGCGCAATGTGTTCCTCTGATGAGCTAAACACTAAAATATCATCCACATGCCGCTTATAGTAGGAAAGAAGCGATATTTTCACCCTCGACTTCTTTGCAATCATCGACATGAAAAAATCTGCTAGCACTGGGCCCAACGGACTACCCATTGCCAACCCATCTATCTGGCGATAGGGAATGTTTTGGAATTGGAAACCGATATTCTCAGTGGATAGTAGTAAGCTGTCCTTTAATAAATCGACTGGCATTGAAAGAGTAAAATAGGAGCAATCTGCCATTTCACACACGTAATCAACTGTTTCATGTAGTGGAACATTGGTGAAAAGCGATTGTACATCCAGTGTCGACAGACTTTATCGGATAGGTTAAAATCATCTAAAGCCTCTGTAAGTTCGAAAGAGTCCTTCAGACGGTTCGGGATAGTCTGCTGCTTTAACGGCGCAAGAACTTCCACCAGCCAAAGAGCCAAATGTTGTCTACCCTTGCGTTTGGCCCACCTGGCGTCCCCTACCATATCAGTTCCCTAGCCAGTATGATAGCTGCGTTTAATTTTTAAATTGCGCTGGCCGCATTGTATCGCATTAAATAACAAACGTGATGCATACGAACGTCATGAAAACGAAACATACAAGTCCACGCAATATTTTGCTAGAAAAACTAAAGTCCTTATATTCTTCTAACTTGTAAGGCGCCATGGACGTACGAGCAGATGGACAAACATTTCACCGGTAAATTTATTGTTAAATTCTGGTCCTCATTTATTGTTTCGCCTTTTCTGTCTGGAACACCAATCCAATCTCTTAGGCGGATATGTTAAGCTTCGGATATTATATCCCTAAATAACCACTAAATTTGAGTATTAAACATTGAATGTTCAAAGATTCACAAAAGCGTAGTGGCATGGTATGAGCCATTGCGTGCGAAATATAATACTCGATCGACCGATTTGTATGGCAGATTGGCCGAAAACCTACTCATATAATGTAAGCAGGACGATCCGTGTTTATCGCACAATCAAAATGACGTCTTTGAATGGAAAAGTGCGACAGGTGAAAATGACGCAAATAAAATGGTAAATGGTCTACACGAATGAAAACTCGCAACTGCTATTTAGAGAGAGCGATGCAGATGAATGGAAAGACACTTACTCTCTGAAAAAGAGGCATCAATATTGGTCAAGGCCGTTTCAAATACTGTCTCTGTGTACACCACCGTCATCGTATTGCTATTGGAGACAATGCCGTTTTGAGGAATGCGGGAATGATGAGAAAGCTGTGACAGTATAGCGCCTCCACAGTTGATTCCGTCTAACACACGCAACCGAGAATTGTAGGAAGGCATCTGTGGAGAATGATATTGTGATTATTCTACAGAGAACGGGCCAGCTGTCTCATTTAATGCAAGTAACATAAATCAGTTCCAACGTTGGACTCATAATTATATGCAAGTTCTGAAAAGGGGTTCTAACATTGTGACAGAATTTATCTGTTCAATTTGGGGTAAAACACTAGCATGTCGGCCGTATAATTTTATGATTATGTTAACTGGGCTTCTTCACCTCCCTTTGTCTCACTTCTTCGGAATTATGCTCAATCCATACGGATCGCCGACCTCTATTCAATGGGACCTATGTTTTTGTTTCAGGTTCAACGACACGCAGCAAACAATCGACGTCTTCGGCAACTCATTCGTTTAGACCTACGAGTGCAACCTTGCTTTTTGAGTTCCTTAAGTGAGGTAGTGATTCGCTTTGGCAGAGTTCTTTCAAGGTTAATAGACAATATATCATATACAACTGTGCAACGCCATACAGCCTAGCTGCTGGTTGCTTTGTCGCCCTGCGTCTAACACTGCGATAATTCATCCGTGTTTCTGCATAGATTCGTGTGATTTGATCCGCCGGTGCTATAAGTGACGCACCACTAACAAACCCGCTGGAACCACGGCAATCCCAGCTGGCTGGGGTAAACATTAACATGGTAAAATATTCGTATAACCAGAGTGCATACGAGCCTTGACCAATGGCCAGGAGAGGTTTGCTGCAGGGTAAACATGTGAACAACAAGCCTAAGTTCAAAATAGATAATCATGTGATCACCTGGTCGCAAGCAGCGAATTCCTATTATGAAACAAACGTAAAATTAAGCGGATAGAGCAGCGTACTGACAACTCTTTAGTAATCCTGTGATGCACGTTCAGATAGTCCTTTGTTTAGGATTGTTCAAACCCTTGTAACGAGGTGCGAAAGGATGGCTGCTTCGCCATCCGAGCAAAAGGAACATGCCATGGTAGGGGAGTGAAAATCGCCGAACTCGAATTACGGAGTAGTGTATTAGGTATCCCCAACCATAAAATTGTGAAAATACAGAAATACGCTGGCAAAAATGTCACATATTCTGGCGAAAAACGAACTTCACTAGGAAAAAACAGCAATGACGGCAGGAACGTTGAAAGGTCTTTAAGCATTTAGGAAATTTTGCATGGCAATAAGAGTAGTACAATAATTGGAGAACACTTCCGTTATTCGATAGGCAACAACAATTGACCAATCGAGATGGGACGACTAACATTGTTGCATATAAACAATCTTGCGTATGGCTTCACCTGTTTCCACAATACATACCACACAACAAATATCTACAAAAAGTCGTTTCTACGCAACCGATAGGCGAAACAGGCGATGTGTCCAAATGTCGCAGAACTCATTAGCAAAGTTTTAAATAGAAGACAATCCGAGGAGCGAAGCTATTGGCTTATGATTAGCTGCCAACGCGGACTAGCCGTCCTCCTTAACAGTCATACGAACATTTCGCGAATTTCATCAACTTCGCAAGTAGCGGAATCTCGATTATTGCCAGAAATATTGATTGACACATGAAACCTGAATGATATTCTCCTCCCAAGCTTTAATCTAGTGAAATATTCCGTTAGTATTTGCAATTTGCCGATCAAACCATAGGCAGAAAGCCAGAGGTTGAAACCTGATCCGCGTGCGCCACGTTAAAATAAGAAGAAGGTGAAGAAGAATGAGAAACTAGTTCATGGTGTAACAGAGTTCAAGTGGGCAGACAATGAGAAACTCAAAACATGAGAGTGAATAATGGAAGCAAATCACAAAGTTCTGTGACAGGCAAAACACTGTGGTCTCCTACGTCAACCCCCTAGTTGCCTCCAAACACTATCCCGGCAGAGGTCTAAAATTTTGGGAGTTACCTGGACTATGCCCGAGGTGGTATCATTAGAGTTACAAACGTGGGACGTAAACAGCAGAAGTGGGCCACCAGAGTACGGTTAAATTCATAGTTTCAAACAGTAACGACCTTACTTCTGAGGAGGCAGATTCGCTTTTTCCTATGTCAAATCAAATAACCGGGCATACGACGGTACCCAAATTGTGCCGGTCAAAGTGAACCCAGTTCTTACTACGTCAACAAATAAAATGCTGCTACGCCAACGCTCCAGGGCTCTACTCTAAGCTTCTAAAACTGCGCCATTGACATGAATCGACTTCTTGGGTAGTCATAGAAAGGCACGTAACGTGGCTTTCGAACGACAAATTAGATCCGGGAATTAATCGCACTCATTTGGTATGATCGGCAATCTCTCGGTGGGTACATTGCTGTCTACTACCGAGTTTACCTGAAATATGATGCCTATATCAAGCACTACGTTTTTATTCCCGACGCAGTATTTTTCCGACGGCAGTTAGTAGGTCGAGATGGTTTATCTTAGAAGATGACGAGTCTACAGTACACCGAATCATTCCGCATACAGCGGTGAATTTCTGTCGCACGCTGTTTAATATGCCGCTTCCAAAACTTACTATTAATCTCTTAAAAACTTGCATCTTTAACGTATTATCAATAGTATCACCGACCGCCAAGTTGGTCTTCAGTCAAATCAAAACTGGTTGAGTTCATGCCTAGGACAGTTTTGTATAATCCTGTGCACCTACTAACCAGACACCGCGGTTCAAACAAATCAGCACTGTTGGACTTAATCTCGGCTAATGCACAGTTGTTGATTGAGTCAGTCAGATAGAACTTTCTACTTGGTAGTATCGACCATTCAGCCCTAACGTATGACCATTTGAATTATGCTTATATGGTTAAATAGCAACGGGGGACCCAAGGAAATGTTACTGGCAATTTTAAGCTTCATTTCGTAGCGACACACATTGACCTCGATCTCCAGTTACACAGTTCGACGAACGGCGAATGCAACCTATTGAAAGGCAAAAGTAACAGATTCCTAAAGAATCCCAAAATGTTGGACAGGACCAACAATTAGATTCCAAGCATAATGCGTAAATGTGTCAAGCAGGAAGATGAGATTTGGAGGCAAAATGCACTAACCCCATGCGATACAACATGACAGAATTAGGAAGCAAATAGCAGATATTGAGCTTCGTTTAGTAGAGCCGATATTTACTAATGAAAAGAGACAAAGGTAATCAAGTTTCTGAGTAACAACAAACTGATTTACCTGAAGGTGAATTGCAAGAGAAACGTTAAGCATGGAATTCCACGCTCAACAATGCTACCTGCTTAACGACTGTGGTCGTGGACACAACGAAAACACTATTCTGAAGTTTGGTTAGGTTTGTTAGAAAACCATGATGCATTCGCCCTATCAACTTCAAACAAATGTCATCCGCCTACCCTATGTTACTTCTATCCCAAGAGCTAACTTAAGCAAACTGCAGTCTCTACAGGAAACTAGTGCTCTGAGAATCAACAAGAATTGCCTTAGTTTTCACAGGCACCCTACTCAAACCATAACAGTAAATCTTGCTGCAACCCCAGCGTTCGCTTACCTATCACGTTTATCTTAGTCTTGTAACTGTATTTGCCTGAAGTTAATTGCCGAAAAGAGTTCCCTTCGCAAGTGTTCTACTTCTAATTTTTTTATTTTCTAATTGGTTCTCATACACTCCAATCTGAGTGGAAACTCGTAAACATCATACCGGCATACAAAGGGAGTGTGGGATGAGATCTCATCAAATACCGCAATAATACACTCGTGTGTTGAAGAAGCAGCAAAGAATAGCCACCAAGGACAAAAGTGTACCATCTATTCTCATTTACAAACTAAGCCTATTTTAAGTTGCTGTGTTCTCCACAAAATGCTTACGACCGCATACTAACATACCGCAGAAAAACTGAAAGCAATCACCCATGTAATTTAATGCTGTCGCTAGCCCCTTCAAACAATGCTTAGGCCAACCACTGAGGCAGTTCACGAAACGATCCATTTTGTTTTAGAGAAAATATGTACACTCTCGTTGTACCGGTTTCCACCGGAAGGCGCTGTCAACCCATGTGGCGAACACAACAAATATCGCAACCTTCGAGAATACTATTCAACTAAATGATAAACCTTACACAATAATGTGCAAGGTCTAGACAGCTGATATTTTGTATTTCCACTCTGAAATGCACTGATTTTCATTTGTATATGTAGTTGTCATCCTGGGTGTCTTGTACAGTTGACTTTTTCTCATCATGCATTAATGGATAATTAAATGATCTCATTGGAATATAACTGAATGAGATGTTGTGTGTGTGATGACGGTCGTGGAAACGACATAGCTAGACTGCAGTCTATCTGATGGATGAAAAGACAGGTCCAGTTACACGTGAGTTCATGAGCTCGTAGGTCTGATAGATTCCCACCGGTAACCGATTACAGGTTTTACATTGTAAATGCCAGATTTGCAAGGCCATCAACTCACTGTTAGAGAGTTGAAAAGGAGCCGCACCTCTCTTCCTGGCGTTACCGTGATTCGCCAAACGCAGACTACTGGATGTGATGGTTGCTGCCGGAACGATAAAAATCCATTTGGCCCACTCAACTCTCCTCCGCAGTGATCTGCAACAATAAATATAATGTTAGGCGGCTTCAACAATGCGCCATCGTACGTTTAAAACCAAGTATGAGGCCAAATATGCGGCCGAAAGTACGCAGGGAAGTGTTGATTTCAACCTTTTATTGCTAGCAGATTCTCTTAGAAAACTCCAGAAATTTTTTGGCCGTTATTTTGGCAAGCATGAATTCGCGTCGGTGGTATGAAGGTTACCTAACTTTGCGTAAACCACAGTAGAGTTAACTGATCACTAACAGGAAGGAAGAAGCCAATTTGATCAATCACCACTACTGAGTCGACAAGCGGCAGTTGCTCAGGTAATCCAATGAAGAAAATAAACCTAATTTTCTTAACTAAACATACAAGATGTATCAAATATCACAGTCTAACAAGGATGACGGGATAGCATGATATAAGGCAATCGGCCGCTTTTGATGATTAGGTTACAGAGCAGGAATTCACAATGGTTAGTTTTAGGCATGTTGCAGCCAAGTTTGAAAAAACTACACGAGCGTGCTCAAGATGAGATGCATTTCCAAATGACATAATAACTCCACCTTTTTAAAAATTAATTTGGGAGTAGTTAAAGCGTAAAATATATTAAGAGTAAATAACAAACCAGATTACCACTTAATCACAACCTGACGCCGTAACAGAAAACACCGAGATGTCTACTGCGTTTATTGCTGATCTACTAATGTAAGGAATAGGGGATCTCGGACTCAAGGATTGTCATCTAACACTCACAAAGTGGACTGAGACTGAGCACATGGAATAGAATGTTGTAAGCTGAAAGAGTGCGAGGAATTATATGGTACTGTGGCGGTATGCAACCGAATGTAGATAGTGGTACCTCGACACTCGCCATTACCTATGACCGTGTAGAGAGTAAACGTTGCTTTGTAAACCGTTCTGCACAGTGCATTGTAAACCTGGGTTAACTAACCTTGAGGAGTTCGCGGAGTTGATGCATCTGTGGAAGGATGAACAATGCTACAGTAATCCCATTGTGAATGCATTTAGCTATAATGCAATATTTGCATCCCAATCACAAACAAGTGAACTGCCGTCTAACTCACAAAATATCATCGGCCTATTGTTGCAAGCTTTGGTGACTGGGTAGCATTTTATGGTCATGGACAGGCAGCCGTATTAGGCATGACTGAGCTTCTATAATGTATAAGTCACCTACTTTTCCCGGCACAGTTAGACTTAAACCACATTTGAAAGATAGCATCATACTTCCCAAAATCGCCCGGAACTAAAGCACCCAAAACGCGAGTGGTTTTTGTCTGCTCGGTGAACAGGATATTGCAAACACTGTAAATAAGTTTTATACTCAAATTTATATATCCACGTTTGCCAAAAAATAATCTGAAATGATTTCGTATAGATAAGTCCATGTGGTCTATGATTCCATTGGCTGAGCCATGGTGTAATGCAAGAAGTTTGATAGAACGAAACAGTTGATTGTGGTTTCCGTATGTTACAGTATGCGTCAGTTAATTTTATATTGAGCAATTCCATTTCAGAATATGGAAACTGAACCTGCTGTTTCTCATAAGGTATATCCATCGATAATATGCTACTAAACGCGTGCATGAATAAGAGTTTGAAATATTTTCTAGTAGAAACGGTGTTCCGAACGCATTCAGCAGGTTGGGTTACTCGCAGTTATAATGTCACCTGTGAGAGAAAATTTACGGTTTACTCAAAGAACTAATTTGTCACCGGGCTCGTTAACTACATGGTGCCTGCTTCGTCATTGAATGAATTCATCGAAATGTTCATGCAATTCTATCAGACGCGTTTAGCAAACTCGCATATAAGAACTTAGCTGAAAATAACAGCCCTTCGGCCATAATCAGAACGGTATGCTGACACTGCTTAACAAGTATGCTGATCGAAAAGTGGCATAATGAGAAAACGATTTACTTTGGATAATTTGTGTTCCATTTTATTCGTAAAGCTGTCAATAAGATAACTTACTCATTCCAGAAACTGAAATAATAGAGATGTGAACAGAGAAATGTAAAAAGCCGTCTCATTTTACCATGCATGATTGAAACGGACGGTTGTTTTCCGATAGTGAGCAAACTCTACTGTCGATGAGTGTATGGTTTTTGTGCTTTCTATTGTATGTGAACTCTTCAAAACATTTTTACGACACGGAATTGTGGAGCAAAATTGCGAACACAACCTCCGTTCCTCAGCAAAATATGTGCCGAATCAGTGCGATCAGATCAGATCATGATATTCCTTGTCATAAACGGCTTACAAAAATTTCTCTGTCCCACTTATGGCTCAGTTAAGATACAACGCTTATCCCTTTCCAAACATCTGACACCTGTCCCTATGTATCGAAAATATTTACTCCATTCTACCCCATTATGTCCCAAGGGTCCACCCAGCTGACCGTATCCCAACTGCTTCTTTATTTTCCGACGAGGTTATGAACAGATCATGCTTTTGTAGCCGCGTCTTGTATTGCAACAATAAATAGCCCTTTTACTTATATAAGTAGTGTCCTACATGCTATGTAGCTTTGAGACACCCAAAGTGTTCATACTGCATTTCCATTAGTAGAAAAATAGCTTAAGTGTCAATTCACGATTTCAAAATTCTCGCTCAAATTCCTGTGCGGGCGTCATCAGGCAACGAATAATTCAATTTCCCATCTGCAGTATCTGGCTGAATTCTTTGGCTGGCAAATTTAGTAAAGTAAATATAAGCTGTAAACACCATGAGTAATCAAGTTTGGCAATTTAAACTGACACTGCGGAAATACTATAAACAGCTTCAATGAAACTACAAGTTGACAAGGAAAATACGAAGAATTGCCAAAGCAATTGGTCTCTTATTTGTCGCACCATAGCTTTTACGTGCAATACGTGGCAGAGTTGGCAAGATGAAATTGTGATGCAAAATCTCCGAAAATACAGAAGGTCAGCTAACGACTGTTTGCACAATATAGATACCGTAAAACCAAGAGCAGTATTTAGGAGGCGAGTGGGGTGGTTTTTTGTCCCGGATGCATAGTTGAGGTATACATGGATATCTTTAGTAACCATAACTTCAAAGACGGATTTTGTTTTACATCTAGCACTGTGTGAATGTTTTCTGAGGGAAAGGAGGTTTTACTATTTCTGAGGCGACCGTGGAATACGGGAGGATCTTTGTAATTTGTAATGGGGCACATACGCATTTACCAACTTTGGAAGTATCTAAATTTTAGCTAGAGAATATGTATAGACCAGAATTAAATGTAAGGTGTGAAATAGGCAGATGAAGGAAAATTTTCTTGTTTATTCAAGGCCAAGGAGAGAAGGTATTTACAAAGGAACAACCAACATGGAAGTGGAAAAAAGAACGTGCTATGAATACTTGTGGAAAAATAAAAGGAGGGAGACGTGGAGTAGTCTATTTTCATTAACTCATCTAATCCTCTTTGGATTTCAGAAGCTTCCTCAATTACTGTTGTCATACGACTTTGGACGACGTCATCAGCATATTTACGTCCGATAAAACTGGATATTATTGCCTGACATTCAGCTTAGGGCTCAATTATTAAGGGGATAGTGCAGCTTTTTGAAAAACGCCCTAATCGGTCGGGAGTACGGATGATCTATAGCCACACAGTTGCTTGAATTATGTGCGATTTGTAAAAGAGTCGCACATTCCAGTTCATACCCATAGGGAAGGACAATTCCGAGCAAATTAAATGTTAGTACGAGTCTGTTAATATACGTAAATTTATTGGAGCCTTCGTACTTTTGTCCAACACAGGTACATTGGAACGCACAAGAAAAACAATGGCATGCAATATATAGCATCCTGATTTGTGGGCACACCGTTTGAAATTTCCTGTATAATCGCTGGTATAAATGAGGGATATTAGTAATTTTTCAGGCATTTTCAAAAGTACAGAAGTGCCACGTTATTGACCGACAATTCTGGTATTCTATCCTACGTGCTGGTATTATTTTGGCGGCAACCCGGATCACAGGATGGTGCCGGACATCAAATATTTTCAAAAGACCACTGTCAGAATTGACTTTGACGCATCCATACATTCTCCAGGATCTTTTGGTATCAGGGCATTAAGGTCACTATCCTTGTTTGCACTAGGCTTCTAATTTCTCTGCAAACATTGTGTTGTCAAATAAGTTCAGATTATCAGCGATAGCATTGTCCAAATCCACAGTACCGAATGGGCTACAAGCATTTCCAAGGATAGTTTCCACAAGAGCCTCCACAGATATAGGTAAAGGTGTTTACCCAAATTGGTTTTAGTGCACAAGCTTTTTAACCTTCCTGGCTCAACTTTTATAGTAGCATACAAACAGGCGACACTGGCAGTTATTTTCCATTTATAAGGAGGCAACCTTTTCTTAGACCGTTGTTGGTGTAGCGTTGATTAAAATTTTTCAATCCGTAGGTAGATTGTCTCAATTTGGCTAAGGAGATTGGAACAGAAATTGTTGTAATCGGTGAGTTGATTGCATTTTACTCACTAGACCTCATTTTAGAGAGATGAGTAGTCAGTTGAATAAAGCATCTATATAACTTCACATCATAACAGTACTGTATGATATTTATCATACCAATATAGTCTGTCTTACCTAACTCATCGGATATATTTGTTGATGTAATGGTTCGAATTGCCGATGGGTTATATATTGCATAGAAAACAAGCTGCGTTTGTTGGCAAATCCCGATGTCCCAATTGCGAAGTGTCGGTCTGTTTTTGAAAACGCTCTTAGGGCAACAAATTTACTATCAAGTCTAAATCAACTAACTATATAGCATTGAAGACGGGTAGCTCAGGTTGTTCAAATGGCGGTTGAACTGTTCGCTGAGCTTGGCGATTTTGTTGCAAACGTTTCGCCCCCAATCGAGGTGATATCATCAGTGCGTAACTGAGTGGCATGCAGTAGCAAAGAGTAGCGTAGAGGAGCCTCGGTGAGACACTCACCGATTGCAATTGCAATCGCATGCAACTCAACTACGCACTGATGATGTCATCTCGATTGGTGACGAAACGTTTGCAAAAAATCGCCAAACTCAGGGAACAGTTCAACCGCCATCAACTAACTATGCTAGTGAAAGCGGTAATAACGTCACTAAAGGAAGTGATTGGAACAAAGCTCATTAAAACAACCCATATTAACATAGGTGCACTCAAGGCAGGTCTCCTGACAGCCAGTGGGATGAACACTATCCTTGTTTGCCTTCAGTATCCGATGCGGACGCATCGCCACCCAGCAATGGGAACACTAGGGCTTGAAAAAGGGCCCTCTGTTTACATAATTCTGTCCGAGACAATCTGATTGCAATGGCCTCAGCCAACTTTAGGCCGTTTTGCTACAGCTTTGGACGGCGTAGAAGACCCTGTATGAATTTATCGTCCTCATCTCGTGGCCAGTTTGAAATAAGTGCACTAAGCTGGAACTATTAAGATTTTTGACCATTCCTGTTCGTAGGGACACCGGACAATGCTCAGCTATCCGTTTGTACAGGCGTGGTCGTGTGCTCAATATAACTTACATCACAGGGACTAGTAAGTGAGTAAAAGACACATGATCAAGATTAAACCGTCAGCCTGTTCCTAGGGTGTATGTTAATAAACGGAGTCGTTTGAGCTAGAAAACTAGACTAGGTAGCTGGGTAGCGTTTAGAAATTGCGTGAGATAGTCGTCTGTTCAGTAAATCGAAAGCGGCATCGCCTTTGAAAGGAACTTAGAGAAAGACAACTATTTTCAGTACAGTCAGAACAGTTTTTTGATGCATACGGAAAGTGGCGTGTCTTCTTATGAAGCGATCGGGGTATCCGTTATCTTACAGCGTTCGAATTTGCGATCCTTCTCCCGTTCTCTGAGGCCGGGTAACTGATTTTAGCGGCACGATGATACAAGCAGCTAAGCAAGTTTTCTCCGTACTTAAAGGTATAAAGCGCAGAGAGTGAGTGTATTGGTCTACTCTTGTAGTCTTTCGGAAGGCGCTTCTTTCAAGTAACCCG